ACTGGAATGCGTTACCGAGTGAGGTGGTGGAATCTTCTTCCTTAGAAGTTTTTAAGGTCAGGCTTGACAAAGCCCTGGCTGGGATGATTTAGTTGGGGATTGTCCTGCTTTGAGCAGGGGGTTGGACTAGATGACCTCCTGAGGTCCCTTCCAACCCTGAAATTCTATGATTCTATGGTTCTCTGAACTGAAGAGGGATGCAAAGCATGTTACAGCTCTTACCAACCATGTTATTAACAATCTGACAAACCCACTGATCCTGAATCACATCTAGAAGTGAATATCAGCATATCTACCAGACTGCATGTAACATCAGATATACAAGAGACTCTACTGACAACAGCAGGTGTTGGTGAAGAACAAATGGAGAGATTGGTGAGAAGTACACTTGATTCTGATGGGACATCTAGCTTCTTCAGCTCAGTCAAGAAAATCTGTCATCAAAACATCTGCTGACATGGCCAAGAAGACCAAATTTGAAGTCTAGCAAGGGAAGGAGAATCACATTTCTGGACTGATAGCTACTTGCTTCCACAGAGCCCTGTCCTTAGCAAGACAAAGATGTGTCAATGGGAACTGTCCTTAGGCACATATGTCAGACAGAGCTAAATTAGGGCATCAACTAGGAGTTCAAGCTGAAAGAATCCATGAGCTAAAAACCCACAAGAAAATAATCCACAGTATACATAAGCGATGCCATAGCCATCACACCAATGATGGCTGGAGACAAACTCCACACTTTCGATGAATTGGCTGCTGCGCATTTTATGCATGTCCTAAAAGGATTAATTCTGTAATCCAAGTCTTTGAAAGATATGACAATAGTATCTCTAAAAAATGCAGAAAGACGGCACAAGACAGGATATAAGGTTAAGCTGCAAGCAATATCAAGTGATTGGTGGATGCTCTGTGCCTCCATGGACACCCTTTGACATTCAACAAGCAGTCACCTGTAAAATTCCCCAGTTAATATAGGGTTCAAAATGCACCTGAGAGTGAAGGAGCACACCCAGTACAAAACCACTCCTTCCTGGTGGACACTTTCCCTGTTATTAAGTAGCAAAGTCCATCACCAGCAAAAGTGCTGAAGAAGCCCAAGACTTATACAGTACAGTAACTCCTCACTTAATGTTGTAGTTATGTTCCTGAAAAATGTGACTAAGTGAAACAATGTTAAGCGAATCCAATTTCCCCATAAGAAGGAATGTAAATGGGGGGATTAGGTTCCAGCAAAAAATTTTTTGGCCATACAATACAGTACTATAGTTGGGTGATGCCCCCGCCTTACCCCACACAGGCACAGCCCACTGGCACTGGAGACAATGAGGCAAGCAAGGAGGCTGAAGGTGCTGTAGGCTAGGAGAAGCACATTGCGCAGCAGCAGCTTCCCCGACTCTGCAAGCACCAGGGGCAGGGGGCCCAACCCTCAGCCCGCCCACTCTACCTCTTTCCCCAAGCCCCTACCCTTAACCCACCTCTTCTCCCCCGCACTTTCCCCCTTTACTCCACAGGCCGCATCCTCACTCCTCCCCCCTCCCTCCTGCCTGCAGCAATCAGTTGGCTCGCAACGGTCAGAGGGCAGGAGGGTGGGGGAAGGAGCAAGGACTCAGCACGCAGCCTCCCCCCTTCCTCCCGCCCGTGGCAATCAGCTAGTCTGCAGCATTTGGGAGGCAAGGGAGGGAGGGGGAGCCTGCGCGCTGAGTCCTCGCTCCTCCCCCCTCCCTCCTCCCTCCTGAATGCCACAAGCCAGCCGATTGCCATGGGCAGGAAAAGGGGGAGGCGTTGATCCGCAGGGTCTGCCGGAGGGCAGGAGGCACTATGAGGGTGCGGGGGCGTAGGGGAGCGGATTGGGGGGCTGTCAGCTGTGGACAAAGTAGGCAGCCAAACGATGTTCTAGTGAAGCATTGCACAACTTTAAATGGAACATGTTCTGTAATTGACCAGGGATGTAAGATTGAAACAACATTAAGTGAGAGGATGTTAAGTGGGGAGTTACTGTACTTAAGAGGAAGCAGTCAGAAGGATGTTTCTGCATGCTGTATATGCCAATATGGGTTTTGGGCCTCTTGGTGTCAAAGGAACCGTAGTAATTAGGTCACATGACAGATGTTTTACTCCTTGCTGTTCATTCTTTTAAAAAATTGAACACAGATATATGGACTGTAACAGTCACCACTATCAGCACAACTGACAAGCTTCAATTCATATCTGTGCATGCAATTTGTGATGCACTCACTCCTGACTTCTGCAACGTACTTCCTGCTGTACACGCATTAACAGGATGTGACTGTCATCCTTATTTGGTATGGGGGGTGGGGGGGAGAATCTGTGTTTAATGCTGTTAAAACAAATGTAGCTTACCACTTCAGAGTCCTGCCAAGTAGGGAAAGACTGACAGACAAGCTGCAATTTCTGCAGCAAGGAAGTTGGTAGGAGTGCTGTATGACCAGAGCGAAAAAGAAAAGGAGACCCACAGAGATCTGAATTGCTCGTGCCTCAATCTAGCCATCAAAAAGGACAAATCACTGGCCAAATTCCCACTACATGAGGACAGTTTTGAAAAGCATGTCAAAAGAGCACCATGGCAAACAAAGATTTGGATGTCTCTGTGCACCGGAGCCCCCTCCCACACTCCGAACCCCTCAGCCCCAGCCCAGAGCCTGCGCCTACTCCCAAACCCAACCCCTATCCCAGCCCAGATCTAGAACGAAGATCTGCTCCAGGGTCTGTAAGAGGAATGACAAAAGGAAAGACTATTGCCTGAGTGGGGAAAGGATAGATATTCCCCCCCCCTTTTTTTTTTTTTTTTACTGGAAGGAAGTAGCTTTTGATCCAGGACATCCCCAAACACATTTCCTTTCAAAGCGGGTGGCAGTGAGACAGAACTAAGCCTGAAATTCTCCTTCTGGAACCCAATCCATAACATACTTCTGAAATTTAAGGTGCTATCAGTAGAATAGATATGGCCAAATCAAATGCTGCTTCCTGTAGAATATCTGCAACCAACTGAATGCCCAATCCACATCAGCACTTTCTGAGTCTCCTCTTTTGAGAGGCCACCACAAGCCAAGAGACTGACTAAAATATATGATCCCTTCCAAGGCAGAAAAGGGATTGGTTAATGAGGGCAGGTTACTGGCTGAGAACATAAAGATGGCAAGTCTTTTCCAGCTGATTGAAAGTGAGCTGTAGCTCACGAAAGCTTATGCTCAAATAAATTTGTTAGTCTCTAAGGCGCCACAAGTACTCCTTTTCTTTTTGCGGATACAGACTAACACGGCTGCTACTCTGAAACCTGTGATAAAAGGAAGAGTAACCCACTTCCCAAATCATTAGAGCTTTCCCTCCCACCCCCGCCCAAAGCAGAAGTCATATTTTCATCCCCTGTGTTTGATAACAATTATAGTTTGAATACTCCAGGTATTAGGATGTTATTTTTATCAATTTCTTTAAATTAACTTTTCTCAGAGAATTGAAAGTGCTCTCACAAAATTAAACGTCCAATTTCTCATTTGACAGCTGAAAGACTTATGAATATGCAAGAGTTTATTTAGATAAGATTGCATATTACCTATCTGTAGACTTTCTAAAAATTAATTTTTCCAAAATATCTGTTGATAAAAAAGTTATTTTAACTTAAAAAAAGGAGTACTTGTGGCACCTTAGAGAGTAACAAATTAGGTGCCACAAGTACTCCTTTTCTTTTTGCAGATACAGACTAACACGACTGCTACTCTGAAACCTTATTTTAACTTAGAACATTTTATTCCCATTTTTAAGAGAACATTTTTGATTTGGGCAATGGATTCACCACCACCGAACATATTCATTTGCCATACTCTGGTAACATTTGCAAGCCAACATCAAGTAGATTACTGTTATACAGTGCCTTCTCTCTCTCTCTTTTTTGGGGTGGGGGTCAAACACCAGCTCTTGCCTTCAGGCATGGAAGCCATGAAAGAAGAGTGTTAGAGACAGACAATTCAGTTTCTTAATTCTCTGATGCCACAAAAGGTCAATGCCTGATCAATTCATCTAATGTATGTACATCATATCAATGCCATGTATAACAGATGGAACTTCTCCATGGTGATGACTATTAGTCATACCACCTGTAGTAGCTCTCTTAGAAACATTACAATAGCACATACTAAACAGCATTTCTATTACTGATAAAAATATCCAGTTTCATTTTACTAGCAATAGACATACTTTGTCACCCTACGATCAATGGGATGCTACGGGGGATAAGAATGCTGGCCAATATGAATCAGTAACATCTTAGTATGATACTTCCACCGGCCTAAAAAAAAATACCAAACAGATTAAGTATGTGTGTTATGTTGTATTACAGAATGTGCATGCATATACTGTCTTCAAATATTTTTCACTATTAGAGAATTCTCAGAAGTGTTAAACTGGACTACACAATCAAATTATTTTTCTTTCAATGTACTGCATGAACAGTAATTTCTACATGAAAAATGTTAAATATCATAAGAAAACTACTAAGAAGAGCATTATTTTGTCAATTTAAAAAGAAAATTTAAGTTGGTAGAAAGGATTTTATTGAACAAATTGCACTCATATTAAAATCAAGCAATTGTTTTCGCCACCTGAAAAATGTGGATTGAGTTTTTTTAATATATGATTATGCAAAATATATTAGCGACAATCATGGTGCCATTGTGTTAAAGTTCTAAATAATTCTACTGACATTAAAAATGAAGCTAGCCACTTATTTAAAGAGCTGCAGTGGCTATATTTAAAAATTGTGTGTGTAAATACCCATAAAACCAGTCATTTTAAGCATATGATCTAAACATACTTGATATTCCTGAAGTGTATTTTTATCTTACAGTAAACAATCTTAAAATTGTACGAATATGTACTTGTATGTCAACGTCAAATTATAAAATCAATTTCACAACTAAAGGAAAGACACACATTCCTCGCTGAAAAGGGTAAAAATCTTTCTTCCAACAATACTTCTATCCTACCTGTATCTTCAATAAATTCCACACATTTTTCAACAAACAGTGGTATAGGCTTCTCAGGTGTAACCAGATCCTGTAGGGGCATCCCAAAGTAATTACTTTCCCAGTTTCTACGGGTTGGAGGATTGAATGCCTTAGTTTTCTTTTTCTGCTACAACAAAACATACCACAGTTACTCCAAAAATATTATTAAAGCAGTGTAATAAAACATTCACAATACAAACCCTCAATTAAGATCACATCTACAGTATGTGAGTTTTCCTTAACAGCAAAACTTAAGTAAAAAGATGTTTAAAATAGTGTGCTTTAAGTAGAAAGCATTCAATCATTTCCATTCTGTTAGGTCATATCTGCACCAGAAAGCAAACAGGATGATTTTTAAAAAAAAGACAAGAACAAATATGAAGCCCCAGGAATCATAATATACTATTTGTCTAGAGTTGCAATGATGCTTTTTCTTCTGTATTTAAACTAATTAACATGTTAACATGAAACACCATTCAGAGTGAAATTATAATGATGCCATCTTTCACAACAAAACTACAGAAGTCAGTTATGATTATGCATACACAAAAAAAGATGTAATAAAGATTCACACTGACAACAAAAGAGGAAAGAATATTTCTGCATCTTTTGAGAACCAAGTTGCTAGAACTCTGAATGACTCTTCAGTATGTTTTATACTAAGGATACTGTATTCTGCGCACTAGTTATTTTACAGACACACACACACGCAGAATTATCCCACAACAAATGTAAAATAAAAGTATAATGTAGCATCAGTTTGACATCTAGGACCCATTCATTGGTGCTTATTAAAAGTTTTGCCATTCGGCTTGTGATTTTGGCTAAAAAAAAAAACAGTTTGTACTGGATGAAAACTAAAGAGAAAATGGCTGAATTTCACATCCAAGTCTTTTACTATTAGCATGTGCAGGAGCTTTCCACAATGAAATTCTTGTTTCAGCTACTAAACTGATGAAAATAATCCTGATATCAAACATTTTATCTGTCAAAAATGTAGTACTACTGGACTGTTTGCAGCTACATATCCACTTTTTACATTTCACTTGTAAAATCAGCACCTAAATGTGGAAATTAAACTAGCAACCAGAAATAAATTTTACATTTCATGTACAAGTTACAGACATACAAAAATGTCAAACTAAACTAAGATCAGAGTCAAGTATGTGTCAACACAAAAATGCAATTATGAGTCAACACTTATAAAATAGTGCAAGAGTAGTGAGTTGGGGGCCATCTAAAAACCAGAAAAGCTTTTGAATTTGTTAAGCAACTTCTCAGTAAAACATCATTTAAACTGCTAACCATAATTACAGTTCTGCTGATATGTCCACAAGATTATCACCTGAATTAATATTTAGAGTACAGCATATAATCCAAAATTTTATTTTAGGAAAAAATTCCATACCAACTCATCATCTTGCAAGACACAAGGACCTATTAGGATATATGAAGACAGAATTTTTTGGAAGTTATTTCTTTTGAAATTTCACACAATTTCTTCAATCTCGTGTTTACAGGAGGGTATTTTCCTTGGCGTGAAAGTAATTAAAAATGTATCTGTTTCCAGTCAAAGCAAACTGAAGTTGCACAGGATAAAACACTGCAGCATCCTCCCCAATAATGTGAAAAAAACCAGACTTCAATAGAAATGTCTACCTTCTAAACTGGGTTGCATATAACAGATTATTAAAAGTGACTGCTTCCCCCCAAAGCTGAGTATTTGTAAGGTATTTATTACCCCTTTGCCTACTACAATGCTGCTCCTTCTAAGGAGACTTAGACCAGCGTACACAAGAATAACATCCTCCCTACCTCACATGAGTGTTGTGAGGGATAAAATTAATTAATGATGGAGAAGCACACACATACTACAGTGAGGATGGACACATGTGTTAAGTTCTTCCCTTGGTGTTTTCTTGAGGAGGCAAGGAGAAGGCCAGAAGCGGTGCTGGTGCATCTTCCCATTGGAGCAATTTGAGCAGGACAGGTAAGGCAACTGAGGCAAAGCCATGCCTGCACATGAGCACTATATTCTGTGCACAGCCACACCAGAGGCCTGTTGGCAGTGGGATAGGGCAAGAGAACAAAAAGCTAAGAGGGATAAAAAGTGTTTTTCTCAGGGTCAGTTCTCACCCTCATCAACTCCTTGCTTCAGAGATCCCTCTAAGTATGTGCTTCACTCATAGTTCAGACATAAGGAACTTAGGATGTTTGGCTTTGAAAAGACTTGACAGTGTGGGTACTTCCTGACCTTGAAGCTCCTGCAGGAGAAAGACCATGCTGCACTCAAACGAAAGCTGACCCACTGCCAATAAGATTAAAAGCTGCAGACACAGCAGTGTGAACCAGGACACTGAAATTTCCTTGTTTTTGAGTACTTGACTTTGCAACTGTAATATTTTCTTAAGGTATTTTTAAAGGTAACGTCCTACTTTTTTTTAAAAGCCTACTGAAAACAAAAAACCCACAGGAATTACATGTGGAACCATGACTACCAGACAGCTCATTAGAAGAGCTGGAACCATGAGAGCCAGAGCACAGATCACCCAAACTACTTGAGTTAACTGAGTAACTGATAGCGGTTAGCCTCTGAGCAGAACAGAAACTATAAAGGGAAAAGACATTTTGCCAGTGCGTTTCACAGCTATTTGGAAGACAGCACAGGACTACTGAGACTCCAAGACCCTGGATTCAATTGAAAGTTCTGGAGGAGAACGTTTTCTAGGAGTTAAGACACACTTCTGCACTTCCCCTTCACAGATACTCCCTGCCCTTATCTGCCCCATTTCCCCTGTCAGACTCCTGCCCCACCCACTCCACCTTCCAAGCTCCTATCCACATGAACACTGCTCCTGTCCCTTCCCCGTTCCTATCCACATGCACATGCCTCCTGCCCTCTTACCACCTGTTTTTAGCCTGTTCCTGTCTATTCCAGCTTGTCCCTGCCCTCCCTCTCTGCATTCATCAAGCAAGTTAAATTATTTCCTCCACTACTGCATGGTGCCTGGGTAAAATGGGTTTGTTCGGGGTGGGAGAGAGGGGTATTCAGTACACAGGAAAGTTTTCCTGCTCCCCGTTTTTGTGCTCAGCACTACACAGCCAGCCCTGGGTAGCCAGGACAAGCTATTGCAGGAAAAGTCCTCAGTTTTGCCAACCCCCAAAAGTTCTAAAAGCAGGAGTCAGACCCCAAAATAATCATGATTGGCCCAAAAAACAAGTATTTTTTAAATACACCAAAAAGTACAAGAAAATGTTTTCATTTTCCCCTGGTCATCCTGAATGCGTGTATGGCAAAACAGTGTGGCCAACTCTCCCAATTCGTAAGGTAAGGTGATTTTGGCCCCTGCTGCAGGAACTCTCGCAGGCTGCCTGATGATGTGGATCTGCCAACTTCTCTCCAAATCCCAAAATTTTAATGAATTCTGCGCTGTCCCCGGCATCATCTTGACCTGTCCCCCAGCCGATCAATGTATGCACCTCCCAGCCTTACATCTTCCTCTTGCTCATCAATGTACCTCTGCTCCTCCTGAGGTTCTTCACCCTTCCTCCTCGGGGGGATCCAGCTCTATCAATTTTTCCTCTCTCTCTCTCACACACACACACGATAAAGGGGAGGGGAGGTTGAAGGAGTAGAGAGGAGCAAATCCATTTGTCACGTATTCAAAAATATAAGGTTTTGGACTTTGGGTGACAAAAGTCCCCTGAAAAATACGTTTGCAGAAGACAAAAAACTGGTGGTGATATTGAAAGGTCCCCCCACCAAGTAGATTCATGGGTAGGAATACAACACACATATATTGCTTGTGACTTATAATACTGAAATATGAATATGAAATAGCTAAATGGTAAGATTAAGAGTTATATTTTAATAATTTATATTTATGAATAGTTAATGAACTTAGATAAGGTAACACTTAAGTCAGGGCCTTATTGGCATGATTGTGGTTTTGCCAATTCTCCTCCTCTCATACAGATTTGCTTAAAATGATGTTATTATTGACATAATAAAGGTGTCATGTTGTGCTGGAAGTTCTGAGATAAAAATACACAAACCTGTAATAATGAGAACCCCCTTCTCATGGGAAAATCCAGGGGAAGGATGACACAAACATGACGACATGGAAATTAAACAGCAAAAGTTGTGTAAACTGAAGCGTGTGCATGCGTATTACCTAAAACGCTTGCTTAATGTGCTTAAAATTGATTGAAGTTAAAAAATATGTAACGAGGAAATGTATAAAAGGACCGAAATAAACAAGGCCCAAATTGGAGAAACAGCAGACCAGAGACTGAAGGAACAGACAGTGATCAGAGGAGTTGACAACCATCATGGAGTATAGGAGAACTTCTAGGTCCCCCAGAATATGGTAATTTGGGACCCATAACAATTCTGTCTTATTGTTTATTGGCTGTCAGAAATATATGTTCAGACAGTATAAGTGACAAGTCTGTCTGAAATTGTATAAATAAAGGCAGAAATTAAGCAAGCCTAAATTGGGTGGACTCAGTTTCCCACCTTAAATCCCAACAGGGTCCATTTAATCTTTAGTTTCAAAATGGGCAAAAATCTTCAGCCACATTTATAGAAACATTTAAAAATAATGCTATTAGGTTTCAATCATGATTGAAGAAGGGGAAATTTAAGTGAATTATAAACAATACATTTTAAGCAAGTATTTGAATGTAAATGTTTTCCTGAAACATATGCCCAAAAGAGAGATCTGCCCTTCTGCTTACTACAATTTTAACTTCATCATCATCACTTACAGTAGTTTTCCGTAGATTTTGTCACATGGAAGGATTGAGACATGCATGAATATCCTGCTGTAGCAGCCTGGTTTATAAATATCGTCATCCGCAACTCACTGGCAGCCGAAAAAAAACTTACTTTCAAGCTTTTTAGCCTTTGGGCAATTGTTATATATGCTTTCTATAAAAAGATTTAATTCTTGCAGATTCATAAAGGTTGAACTAAAAGGGATATTCAAAATCCAACATCTATTGTGGTCCTGGAAGCACTATTAGGTGTTTTTCCATTTGCCACAATTTTAACTTCTGTGGACAAATAAGTCATTGCTTGTCCTTTAGCTCATTGTCTCCAAATTATCCTATTCAACGTTCCCA